AAGGGGAATAATGAAAAAAATTAAATTCAATTTGCTTCTGTGCAAAAATAAGTGGAATATTGAGGTTTTCTTTCCAGAAATGAATGAGGTATTTCTCACCATAGATTACAGAACTCTAGGCCCTAAAATAGGACTTTTACCCTTCACGTGTATGAATATGTTTAAAATGGATATGTTTACCTTCTGTCATAATAGTATTAAAATGACTAATTTTAAGTAGGGGATAAAAGTTACTGGTCCTGCTGTTTACTAGTGAGGGGTGAAGGGAAACACACTTTCCATACACTTATGAGATTTGCCAGCTGAAGTGACAAGTTAACTTTAGAAGATACATCCTTAAATATAGAACAATAAAATCCTCCAGTAGACCATCCATCATATCTAACCAACAAAAATATGATCATACTTTGTATCTATTGGCTAAAATTACTACATGTTAATTTTACTTTTTTTTTTTTTTTAATATTCTCAAGGTGTGGGGGAAAGTAGAGCTGATTTTAAACCAACACAGCTCAAGATTAGGTTCCAGGCCCCTTGTGGTCTATGAAGATGGTAGTAGTAGGAATCTGCCAGCTATGCTTAATATTTCCAAGAGCCTAACTAAAAAGTTTCAGATTTTCTCTCGCATAATTAGGCCACCAAGACAAATTAAAACCACAAATTTCTGTTCCTTTGGCTGGAATTTGGAAATGGCAGCGGGCACATGATGATCAGAGACCCTGATTAGTCTAATAATATCATAGAATCTCCGAGAGCTGAAAATAGGACCACACTGTGACTTCTGCCCCTTGCCCAGCCAGCCGCCTCAACTCCTAAACAGCTGGGGCAGCGAGAGACCATGGTCACAAGTTCAGACACTCTGCTCCTTTGACAGAGAGCTGTGGTACAAACTCCTTGTGCACAGGAAAGGAGTGCTTGGTGATTAGAAGCTGGGAGCTTCTAACAAATCTGATGGAAGTCAGTGGGCCAGGTATAGAGGGTGGAATATTGAGGGTTTTTTCCCAGAAATGAATGAGGTATTTCTCACCACAGATTACAGAACTCTAGGCTCTAAAAGAATAGGACTTTTACCCTTCACTTGTATCAATATGCTTAAAATGGATATTTTTACCTTCTGTCATAATAGTATTAATATGATTTTAAGTAGGGGATAAAAGATACTGGTCCTGCTGTTTACTAGTGAGGGGTGAAGAGAAACACAGTTTCCATACATTTATAAGATTTGCCAGCTGAAGTGGCAAAAAATGAAAGAAAGACACAGACTTCAGAGTCAAAAGATGAGGGTTTGCAGTTCAGTTCTACATTAAGAGTTAAGCAGTACAGGACACACTGCTTAATATCTTTGAGCTACAGTTTCCAAAGAAAAAATGGAAGTGATACCTGCTTCTCCAAAGAGAAGCAGAAAGAACACTGGATTACAAATCAGTGAGACCTTTAGTTCCAATCCCAGTTTAGCCATTTACTTGAAATATATGCTTAGATAATTTGCCTAATTCCTTCAAGCTTAGTTTCTCCTCTATGAGTAAATAATATCATTTTTCCTTCCAATATTATAGGTTAGTTTTGAGGATACGGTGCAGGTAAAAAAAAAATCCTTGTGTGGTAAAGCAAATAAACTATCAAATTTACTATCAAAGCAAGATAAAACTTAGGTTCTTTTTGCTGAGATAAATATCATTTCATTTTAAGGAATTACTCTGTTTCTTTGCCTGCTGAAGGAGGATAAACCTAACAGGTTTCAATTCTAGTCCTGCCACTCCTTCACTGGGCCCTGTGGTTGCATGTTCCATCTCACATTTTGTTTGGTGGTGTTGATGGTGCCCCTCCTCAATTCCAGGGCTGGATCCGGATAGGTCCAGGCCAAACAGGATGTTCCTGTCCCTTGCCATGGATTGCTTCAGGGATACAGTTAGAGTGTTGAAGGCTCTGTTCCAATAGTTGTAGGCTGAGTTGTTCTTTCCACCTGGGTATGAATGAAGCATGTAACCACAAGAGCTGCTGACATCCACCTTAATAACATTAGGGAAGAGTGAAGCCACAGTTGAGAAAAATCACAAAGAAAAAGATCAATTGCTTTGCTTACATCATGATCCTCTGGATTAAACTATGCCAAAAGGTAGTTCACTTCTGGGGTTTTCCATTAGGTGAGGCAATAAATTTTCTTGACTCAGTTTGAGTTAGTTTTTCTGTTCTTACAAGTAAAGTTTCTTCCTCATCTTTTCATAGCTTAGCCGTGGGCAAACTTCACTGCCCCTCTAAACTTCAGTTTCCTGATCTCCAAAGGGGACATATAATATCTATCATTTACAGGATTGAACTGAGGTTCAAAGACACTTGGTACAAAGCAAGCATTTGATTTTTCTTAAAAAAAAAAAAAATGGTTATGTTTGAAGCTCTAGGCTTTATGCTGCTTCAAGTACATCATTTCACCTAATCATTGCATCAAACCTCTGAGGACAATAAATGAAGACATGGGGATTACAAAGTTGCAGTGATTTGGCCAGAGTCCCAAAGCTAACTCCCAAGAGGCAAAGTTTCACAAAATGTGACTGTTTTTTCCTTTTTTCATTCTCTTATCCTTTGACCAGATGATTGATGTTGAGTATACAGTAATAATAAAATATTAATTGTATGCCCATAATGTGCCATGACTATAAGGTATTAAATATATACCAATAAATACACACATTCTCTTTTAGTTTTAGAGGATACAGTTTCACAATTATCTGCATTGTAAAAGAGATTAGATGAAGTCTGTGCCTTTACTGGCCTCATGCCCCTAATGATTGAGCTAAACAGCCAACATCTAAATCTTAAAGGCACAGGGATAGTGCAGACAACAACAAGAAAAATTCTACAACTAAATGCTGAAACATATAGAGGTTGTTTTAATAAGATACTTCAAATACACACACACACATACATACACACACTACACATATATCTTACATTCTAATTGCTATTTGTTCCTAAAACCTTGGACCAAAATGTAGTATTTCTTTTATATTTGATTCCATGGGTTAAAAAATATTTTTTTCATATGCATTATAAAGATATTATCTCTATTTAATCTTTGCTTTTTTTTCTTTGACATGATGTCAACTGGTATATGTTTTCTAGAAAGTCTGAACACCACAATCAGATGTGACAATGGGGTGGAAGGAAAAATAGACGAGGGTCTCCACTACACTATTTTCTTAGGAAATCTGCAGGGAAATCAAACACTGTGTTTTACTGTTTACCTCTGGGTGACATTCTCCAAACGTCTTTACATGTTATGGAGTGCCTCTTACAAAACCCAGTCACCAGGAGAGTGAAGAATGACAGTATGTAGAACAGGCACTGTGAATCTCTCCCTTACAAGTGTTGTCTTTTGTGCAGATCAAGAAATACCTTCTGAGCAATACATAATAAACCCTGGAAAAGAAAAAATAGGCTCTGAACTTGTCTTCTTAACAATTAACAAATAATTTATCAAAGCAAACTGAACAGTATTAGGACACATCCTAAATGAGACTCCACAGGCTCCCACATGCAAGGAGGGGCCCCACTTTCCTATACTGCCTCACTACTGCAGATTTTGATAGAAGCATCTAAAAGGAAGACCTGAAACATCATCCTGCAGACAAGGTAAGTGGTCTCAGGTTTTATGCGGGCATAAAGATGTTTACCTATATTGAAGCCACACATGAAGAAACCAAAAAACTAGAATTTTTTTTCTTATCTGTTGATAGCTTAATCTTAAGATACTTAAGAGTTGTGGAAAATAGAGTGGTAGTCAGATATACCTTTGCTCTTCTTACATTGGAAGTCAGATATAGATTTAGTCTTCTTACATTTTTTAACCTCTTCAAGCCTATTATTGTAACATGAAAATAAAACCTTCACAAGGTGGTAGAATAAATGAATATAGTCCAACTCATAGTAGATGCTAAAAAAAAATAGTTACTTTCTTTTTCCCTTCTCAAAAAAAATTATTTATTTAATAAAATATGTTTTAAGGAAAATTCTGTCCTAGGAATATAACTAGAACAGTGTTAATCTTTACCAGTTTGGGAGCACAAATAATACTGTATAAGTAAAACTCATATTTGAAAATTTTCTCCCAAATGTATACAATACCATAATTTCTGGGCATCACTGGGGATTTGTGCTTCTTTTCTCATCTTCCTCCTCCAGCACTGTTGTGTTGTTTTTTTTTTTTTTTAATTGGTTGTTCAAAACATTACATAGCTCTTGACATATCATATTTCATACTTTAGATTCAAGTGGGTTATGAACTCCCATTTTTACCCCATATACAGATTGCAGAATCACATCGGTTACACATCCACTTTTTTACATAATGCCATATTAGTAACTGTTGTATTCTGCTACCTTTCCTATCCTCTACTATCCCCCCTCCCCTCCCCTCCCCTCCCCTCTTCTCTCTCTATCCCATCTCCAGCACTGTTGTTGATGTCTGGTACGCAGGAGATGAACATGGGGACAGCATCTCATTCCTTCTCCTAGTGGTATCTCAATGAGAATAGAGTGACTGTCTTCTCTGAGAACCCCAGGGATTTCCAAACTATAATACTGCTGAGAACCCAAAATAACATAACTTTACTAAATATGCTGTGACAACATGAAAATGAACATTTCTCCCAATTTTGTTGTTTCTACTATTGCCTGGACCAAAACCAGCACTTCTTGTGCTTCTCTACTAAAAGGGCTTCTTCGGCATCAGCCTGTGACTGTTTCCCTTGTCATACCATCCATAGGTGAAGACCAGGAAATTTTCTATCCCAAGGTCCTCATGTCCACATAATCTCTACTTTCCCCACCAATGCAAACCATTTCCTGCAAACAGATACCTTCAGACATCCATTTCCCAGTTCATCATAATCACCAAACTTTGGAATCCAGTTTAGGCTGAAATCCTGTAACAACTATTACACATTCAGATTTCTTATCCGCTAGGGGTCTGACTTTCAAATCAAAGGCAAGTATGAGAAAGCAAGATGTATAATATAAATTTATTCTGTGACATTTTTCTCATTAAAGATATTTTAAAATACATCATTATTTTATGAAAAATAAATACCTCATAGAAGAATTTAGATAATATCTGTAATATACATGATTTGACCCTGGATATTCTTTTTTTTTTTCATTTTGAACATCATTTCTTAAAAAATAGCACAAAAATTATAAGGATTGCTGTATTCTTCACATGTCCTTAGTCTCATAAATTTTAATTCAACTGTCAGTTCTTTTCTCAACTATGTATGTTAATGGTATTTGCTCCTGTTTTTGGATTGGAAGAGTATCCATTTTCTGTTTCTTAACAGTGATATTTAGGTCCTCTTTTTCTGATTCTTCAAGAAAATGCTTCATGCTGAGTTTGAATAGCAATCGAGGGTCTGGTCCAGAAAGCGGTGGGCAATTACAGATCTCTCGAATTTTGAGAGCCTATAACGAAAGAATACAGTGCAATTCCTGATATATTTTATGCAAATCAAATATAATGCATTCTGTATTTTAGAATAAAAGTCATCTTAATTAAAACACATTAAAGATAAACACAGATAAATTCATGGTAAGTATCTACTTACCATCATTTGCTCAAATAGTATTTTTAAACAACAGCAATTGTATCTACAACTGCTCAAACGCTCTGTAAAGAATAAATAAATCTTAGAGATATCTCTATAGTTTCAAACTCAAGCAGACCCTGAGAACAACCATTCAGAGTAACAATAATCTGAAGACTCTTGAGAGTGTTTTTTTTTTTTTAAAAAAAGGAAAACAGTAGAAATACATGTCTGAACATACTGAAAAAAGACATACTTGGATAGCATGGGATGAAATTCATGCAAATAACAGAAAAGGAAACAAAATCAAAATCAGGAAAATTATAAACTGTAGGAAAAATAAAATGCTGTTGGGGAAGGAAAAGTCATCACAGTGCATTATGTGGCTCAGCTACAACTACAGGATGGTTGCAAGTTCCAGGACAACATTTGGAACTTAGCAAGACCCTGTCTCAAACTGGGAAACAAAAAAGGGCTGGGGATGTAGCTCAGTGGCAGAGTGCCACTGGGTTCAGTCCCAGTACCTAACTAAACTCACAATTTTCATTAAATGGTTAAAATTTATGGGGAAGAAGAGAGCTGAATACATGTGTGTGCATGCACAGGTATGATGATGGTAAAAGGGAGCTTATGTCTGGTACTGTTTAGTGGAAAGCAAATAAAAGACCTAAAACTGAAAAGTTAGGAAGTCGCAACATAAGCAGGCTATTTAGATATAGTGGGAAATTTTAAAAATTATGCAATAAACTTGGAAAGTAATTAACCCAAAACTGAGGGCAGGATGGGGGAACTACTGCTTCAAGTAATTACCCTTAACTATTGACTTAACTCTAAAGAAGGCCCACGAATAACTTGAAGATCTTAAAATATTTGTATGAAAAAAAGTTTTAATATTTAAGTGGTTTTAAAAGAAGGACATTTAAGTAGAAAAGTTGGTTCAGTATTTTTTTTTCAGTACTTCTGACTTTTTTTAATATTTATTTTTTAGGTGTAGATGGGAACAACACAATATCTTTATTTTTATGTGATGCTGAGGATCAAACCTGGCCCCACCCGTGCTAGGCAAGCACTCTACCGCTGAGCCACAATCCCAGCCCCAACTTCTGACTTTTTGATAGTGATGAGTACTAAGGGAAGTAAAAAAGACAGAAAGGGGGATAGTAAGTATCTGGGGGAGTGGTAAAATTTTAGAAAGGCTGGACAGACAAGGTCTTACTAGTAAAAAAAATGACTCTGGGCAGGGAGGAGAAGACCTAAAAGACTTAAGAGACCACATGGCAATCTTGGGGAAAAGCATTTCACAAAGGAATGAACAGCAAGGAATGCAAGGGAGATGGAAGTGTGGAAAGCTGGTGAACCAGCACAGCACAGGTTAAAGAACAGAATAAGATCGAATGTGCTCTCACAGGTACATCCTTTACATTGTACTATGAATAGGCCTGCCTCTAATATTTGCAGGGTCCAGGGCAAGACTGCAAATTGAGGCCTGGTTACCATGTGTCTAAGTATCTACAAGCTATAATCCAAGGTAATAAACTATTATATAAAGGAAGTTCTATTCTCCTACTTCAATGAATATCCACTCAAAATTACCTGTATGTCCAGGTATAAATTCTTGAATTTCAGAATGTATAAGGTTGAGGGAGAGTCTACTCTAGTTCCTTCTACTAGACTGCTGTCTGTTCCCTCTGTTCCCCTCCCCTCCCCTCCCATTCCATCCCATCCCATCAGGCCTGTAAGGGCCTATGTGTGCACATGTATCCAAAGGAATAGGTCCAAAAAGGCCCTGGAAGCAGACTCAACCATGTTTGGGCAAGGTACCCAGACTAATGGCATGCAGGTTCTTAGACGGGAATATCCCCTTAAACCTCACAGGAATGTGGGGTAGAGGCAAGTGGCATGCAGTCAGAGAAAAGTCAGAAAGGAGTCTTCTTCGGTTGATGGGGCTAAGGCAGGAACCAGGGATAGGAGCATGTCTGATAGATGAGGCTATTTTTTACCAAAGTAAACTAAAGAGGTATGCACAAATGGTGGGACTCTATTTCATATACAACCAGAGAAGTGAAAAATCCTGCTCCATTTGTATACAATGAATTAAAGAGCTCTCTACTGTCATGTATAACTGATTAGAACTAATAAATAAGTAAATAAAATGTGAAGCTCTTTGCTGGCAGAGGCTTTGTTTTACTTCCCTTTGAATCTCACAATACAATAGATTTAAGATATTACCTCTATTGAGCATTAACTGTTTGTCAAAGTAAACTTAATTTAAATAACAAGAAAAGGTTTTCCTGCTATACAATTGAGAAAGCCAGACCCTCAGGGTGAGCTACTGTCCAAACAGGTACACTTTTGAGGGTACAAGAGATGATACTGAGATTTCAGGCATAAGCCAAGACTTTCTTGGCTGAACTGAAACATACAGGCACCCTTCACAACTATAGCGACTTTCTTTTCCAAGTGAGAAGTTTATCTGCTATACCACATGTCTAAGCCCCATGCTGGCATCATTAAAAGGAGAAAGTATGGAGTCCAGCACAGCAACAGCTGGCACAGCATTTAGCAATGAAGAAATGCACAGAGAACAGAAGAGGATGCCATCTCCATTATCTTTCTAGATTTAGTAAATACTGTTAAATTCTCTTATTTAGTCTTTTCATATATTACAGATAATTAGACCACCACACTGAGTAAAGTAGTAGGTACACATCATTCAGAATAGTCATGGTTGCTGTCTGTAATTTACTTTGTATTTCTCTACTACTGGGCATCTGAATTGTTCCCACAGTTTTATTTGGCTTTTATAAATTACCCTACTATAAAAATATTTGTTAGCTGGTAGTGGTGATATATGCCTACAATCCCAGCAACTCAGAAGGATCACAAGTTCAAGCTAACCTGGGTAGATTAGGAAGACCTTGTCTCAAAAATAAAAAATAAATAGAAGGGCTGGAGATGTAGCTCAGTGGTAGAGTGCCCCATGTTTAATTCCTAGTACTCAAAACAAACAAACAAACAAACAAAAAAACTTTGTATTAAAAAATCTTACATTTTAACCTCCACTTGGGTTTACTTGAAGCAAAACTCTCAAAAATAGAACTATCTGATCAAAGAACAGATTATAATTTCTGTAATATAGGACCAGATTCCTTTCTAGCAGAAAAACTTAATCAATTTATAATGACATCAGCAATATAGAGAGATTGAGTTTAGTCACAATCAGGATAACATAAGATTTCAAATTCTTATCAAGATAACCACATATTCCAAACACCAGAATCCTCAGAAATCATCAGTTAAATTTTACAGATGAGAAAATTGATCCCCAAAGAAGTTAAATGACTGGTAGGGAACAAAAAGTTGCCTTGGAAATCTTTGTAACAGTTTTATTTGCCAAAATTTGGAAGTAATCAAGATGCCCTTTAGTAGATAAATAGTAATAAACTGTGGTACATCCAGACAATGGAATATTATTTGGCTCTGAAGAGAAATAAGCTATCAAGTCATGAAAAGACAAGGAGGAACTTCAAATGCTTATTAATAAGTATAAAAAAAGCTAATATGAGAACATTATGTGACAGTGTGGAAAAGTCAAAACTAAAGAAACTAAAAAATCATTGGGAGAGATAAGTAGGCACCAATTTTTTTTTAAGGCATTGAAACTATTCTGTATGATCCTCTAATGGCAGATGCATGCCATATCTTTGCCAAAACAGAATATACACCACCAAAAGTGAACCCTAATATGAATTATGGACTTTGTGTGGTAACAATGGGATGGTGTAGGTTCATCAATTGTAACAAATATACGATACTTGGCTGCAGGATTTTGATGGTATGGGAATCTATACCTGGGGTCAGCTAATTCTGTATTCCTCCCTCTCAATTGTGCTGAAAACCTAAAACTGTTTTTCTTTTTTTAAAAAAATGAGAGTCTGTTTTTTTAAGTATCTTGGAAGTAAAAAACAGGGATCAGAACCTGTTTTCTATCTAATGCTTTCACCCAACATGCTTTTTTGTGCTAATGCTTGCTTGTACCACATGATATGCTTCTTGAGTAAATTCTTTTACTGAATAAATGTATTTGGCATGTTTGAGCTGTTTCTTTAATTGCTAGAAAAACTATGTTATCTTTCATAAAGATTTTCTATTGCTTTCTTCATATGTAAACTGTGTCTCTCCTCCTATTATCAAAGCAAAATTCTATAATACACCACATATATTTCTATAAAAGCTTCATCTATTTTGCAGAGTAAAATTTTATCTGCTATCTGGATAAAGTATTTTTATTTGCTTTATTATGCTTTAGGATGCTGACATCTTTTTACTTTTATAAATTCAAATCCATCTTATTATATATACCTTTATATCTTCAAAAGTGAGCAAATACTTTCCTAACATACTGCTAGAATATGATTTTCTACTTTTTTTATTTTGTTGTCTTGTTTAACTCCATGTACTGCACATAATAGGCACTTAATACATGCTAAATGTATATAGAACATATATAGAACACTAATCATTGTCATAAGTGTCATAAGGAGAACATTCTAAGGAATTTATAGCCTAAGAGAAAGCAAGAAGGGGCTTTAATGGCGAGAATATATGGTTCTGAGAGTCCTGAGGAAGATCTGAAGTGCATAGAGATGAGCCAACCCAGGGTAGTTTTGGTTTGCATTTCTCTAATTGCTAGCAATGATGAACATTTTTTCACATATTTGTTGACTGATTGTATATCTTCTTCTGAGAAGTGTCTGTTCAGTTCCTTGGCCCATTTATTGACTGGATTTTTTTTTGGTGTTAAGATTTTTGAGTTCTTTATATATATTCTAGAGATTATTGCTCCATTTGACATGTGTGTGGTAAGAATTTGCTCCC